AAGTGCAGGACCCGGCACTTGGCCTTGTTGAATCTCATACAGTTGGCCTCGGCCCATTGATCCAGCCTGTCCAGGTCCCTCTGCAGAGCCTTCCTACCCTCGAGCAGATCAACACTCCCGCCCAACTTGGTGTCGTGTCTGCAAACACTGAGGGTGCACTCAATCCCCTCATCCAGATCATTGATAAAGATATTGAACAAGATATTACCCCATGTTTATTTATGAAATAAATGAGAACTATTTAAGTGACTTGCCCCAGGTCACTTGGACTCTGTGGGATTAAAGCTTAGGTTTCTCCACCCCACTCTACTGCTCACCAGACCAGTCTTTCCCCCTTTCATATCTTTTATGACAGCAGAAAACTGTAGCAACTGGCAAGGCAAACTGCATGAAGAGAAGAAACTGCCATTTTGCTTATCCTCTTTATGATCTCTGAAAGTATGTTTAGCTGCTCCCTTCTTCCAAAGTCATCTAATTGGTAGGAATCACACAGTGTAGGGTTCATTTCTCTGTCAACTTTTTTTCTTTTAAAAAAGACAGATGCCCAGGAGCCTGACAATACTGAAAAATGAAAGCCTCCATCTGGCTGCAAAGCAGTAAGAGCCCCTGCAGCAGGTCGATAAATTTCATCCCACTGCCTCCCTGGGAAGCCTCAAGTCTGACCAAGAAAGATCACTGCTTCAGGCGGCAAACCATTCAGCTTCCACACCTCATTAGTTCCCAGCTTCCACTCTAATCCTACAAACTCCTGGCCCCCAAAGAACTACCAGCAATACTAATCTAGTCTGTTTCCTAGAGGATTGTTAGATAAAGAAAATTTAATTTACATTTAGCCAGATGATATTTACCCTGATCAACTAAAAGGTGAAGGGCTCCACAGATACTATCAAACCACTATGCCATTAGGTTCCATTCCAGTAACTACTTTAGCAAAGACACTTTGAGTGTATTCCCCCTCCTTGAAAGAGAGATGAGCACTCTGGAGACACATAATACAGTAACGGTCAATCTGCTCAAGGGCTATTAATTAAATCTAGTCTCGGTCAGCTCGAAGTGCCAACCATAAGCTTTTAACTTAGCTACTTTTAGAGTTAACAATCATACCCAAGTAGAGCTGGAAGATAATGGAAGTATTTTTACCAAAGCCAACTGTGGGGCTTTTTGACCTACTTCCATCCTCACCTGCATTTCCCAGCCTCCTTCCTGAAAGTAACAGATTTCCATCCCAAAGAGTAGTGGTACACTTATCTGAACCAATGTGTGACTGACGATTTTATTTTCTTCCTCCTCCTCCTCTTTTTCCTATACAGCCTCCTATTTCCTTTAAAAGAGATGCTCATTTTTGAAGAGGCCTCTTGGGCCTATTTCAGGGTGACTCTTGAAGCTCCTCAGAACTTGTGTGAGTTCACTCTGTGTGAACTGGCCAATGCAGCCTCATGAAGTGGTGATCAGTGAGAAGTGTGCCAGATGTTAGGACTAAGATTGATCTTTAATTAAAAAAACAGAAACGACAGAGGATGCGGCATTTTAAGAAGGTGAGAGAATTCTACGTGCCTTGTCTCAGCCTGCTGCCTAAGACAAACTGGTTGAATTAAAATTCTCCAGTGATGTTACATTTCTGTCCAAGTTGCAAGTCAGATCACCTTTGGCTGCCCTTTAAGGACAAGCAATGCCTTCCTGCTTTGAAATGCACTGTGTGGGACTGAGAGCACAGGCAAACCCTTATCCTGCCCTAGCAGGTATCAAAGAACAGAACAACTTTTTCTCCCTCCTTTCCCCCTACTTTAACTTTCCCACTGAGGATTTCCATCATCTCTACTCAAACACCAGTGGAGAGAGAGAAAGGCCTGGTGATTCCCTAACACCCAAGAACTGCACCATTGGGGAA